ATTGTACAAAGCCTCATAGTACTTATTAAATCTCTCACCTATTTTTTTTGGGTCTAAATATACCCCATCTTCATCCACTATCTTTACTATTTTGCTGGATCCAATTTTATCTCTTAATTTTTTTGTCATGTTTCTATCTGCTCGGTTCCCCCTATAATAATAATTTGCTTTGAGTTTATTCATTAGTTTTGCATTCTTTGCTATAAAAAAATTATTAATTCTATTCTGAATGCTTTTCAGTTCATCTGCGTTTTCTTTAGAAGGAGACTGCTTATTCTTACTTGCGATCTTTTTTAATTCTGCTTGTAATCCTAGAAAAATTCTATTATTTTCTACTTTATATCTTGTTTGTATACTTATTATATTACCTGTCATTGTGGATTTAAAAGCACACCAATTGTTTATATATGAGGTGTCATTAGGGTCATTTTCAAGAAAAAAGGTTACTATTTGTTTTTCCAATATATCAAGATTGATCTTAGATTTTAACAAATTATTCTCCATACGCCAAGTATCACGACCAATCCTGGTCCATTGATTCTTTAATACTGTGATCTGACCAGGTATTATCAAGTATCTTAAAATATTTAATATTCGTCAATGCTGTCATGTTGCCCCAAACGATATCTATTCGAGAATACGAAAGATGTACAAGTGAAAAAAACGTATATTCCAATGAGTCAGGATTGGTTGTTCACCAAAGATCAAAATAGTCAAAATTAATCATAATTCTGTTAATAGATTTTGCAAGTTTATCTGTTCTTTTTTGATGTAATAATGTTGAGATTGTCTTCTTATCTACTATCGGATCTAGTACACTATTAAAGTCCCCAGCCACCAAACATGTGCCTATTTTAATAGATTCTATTAAACTTAAAACCTTTTTTAAGGTTGGAGCAGGAAAATCATTGGGAAGATATATATTAGTCAATGTATATGGTATCTCATTTAATTTACAGCAGACTATTACATATCTGCCTTCCTTATCTTTGATTTGATGTATTATATCCACTTTTAATGTGTGGGAAAAAACTATTGCTACTCCTCTTTTTTTTTTCCACTTAATGAAGCATATATCACTGTGGGAAATTTTAAACCACCCCAGCTTTGATTATCCATATCTGACCAGTGGGTTTCTTGAAAAAAGCCCACTTCCACTTTATTTCTCAACATATAGTCATATATTAGAGATTTCTTAATTGGAGAATTAAGGCCCTGGACATTAACCGAAATCATCTTTACCATTTTAACTCAAAAAAAAAACCTTGTTACCACTAACCCCAAGAGAGCTGCAATGCATTCACATAAAACACAAACGGTCCATTGTACATAGACCCACAAAAGCCTTATGGGAAAAGCACCCAGTCTGGCCCAACACAGCCTGGCTCCCGAGTGGTTGTCTCTCAACTCACCACTCAAGGGCCATCTGTGTCCTCGTGAGATGGTATTATGGATTACCATATCACGGTATTTGTGTCAACACAAAAAGATGACACTTGGTGGGGCAATATAGAAGAGAGCGCCCGAAAATCATGCTCCTTATTTTAAAAAACTCTCTACTATCTCATATAAATACTTTAAGAAGAGAGGGAGAAAGAAAAAAAATATATATACTATTCTGACTTCTGACATTAGTTTGGCTTTATACTGCCGCTGTTCCCCCCCTCCCCCCCAAGGGCTTCCCTACAACCCTTGTACACGATTCACTTTGGAGCTCCCACTACCAAAGGGAGTAATGTAAAACTTACATACAGAGATTACCCTCAATGGACAACACTTATATGTGCAATAGTAGCACGTTGTTTCACTAAGGGCATTATTGTTATCCATTACTTAAATAGGATACATTGTATTTCTCAGTTCTTACACTCTTTATCTTATATTGCCGGCTACAGAGACTTTGTTACTTAAAGGCTACTGACAACTGCCAATACAAGCAACTTTAGGTACTGCAGGATTGCTATATATATTGCAGACTAACTGATGTTCCCCTGTATTTTAATACATTTTTGTAAATAGCACTGTATATATATTTTCTACACTGGTTACAGCTGGGTTTTTGTTTTTTCCTTACCCCAAGAGGGACCAATAAAGATTTATGTTTATTATTTTTTAATTCTATTTATGCTCCATGACTAGCAACTCATTGCTCTATACTAGTGGAGCAGCTGCATTTAGGGTATAGAGACTGCATTTGGGAGTACTTGTTTAGTTAACCCATTCCAGCTTCTTTTTTATCAATTATGGCATCCATTCGCATAGTTACTTTAAATACTCGGGGACTTAATTCACCGATCAAAAGATCCCTTGCACTACGGGAACTCTACGCACTGAAAGCAAACATATTTCAAAGCCAACACAGCCCCAACCCTACACAATAAACACTACCCAACTGGATACTTTAGCAATTATAAAGTATCCAAGTCTAAAGGGGTAGCCATTCTGGTTGGAGCAAGGACGCCCTTTACATACCTAACACATCAATCAGTCGCAGACAGGATACTCCCTGATAGTTAAAGCAAAGATAGGCAATACCTCATTGACACTTGCCAACCTATACCTTCCCAACACAAAACAAGGCAACCACATGCGCAAATACCTTGCCGCAGTAGAAAAATTCACAGGGGATTCTTATACTGAGGGGAGACTTCAACATTTCACTTGACACTGACCTAGATACAACCTCCAAATCCACAAAATACAACGCAACCTCCAGGACCAGAATCGTACAGCTATTGGACAGCCATCACCTTTTCTACAGTTGGCGAGAAATACACCCCACCTCTTGAGATTACTCCTATTTCTCAGCTGTAAAACATACCTACTCAAGACTAGACATGCTCTTCCTCCAACACAGACATCTCCACCTCATCCAATCATGTGAATACGGCCCCATCACATGGTCGGACCACGGCCCACTATTCATGACACTATCAATAGCTACGCCAACACCCTCAGGAACACAATGGAAACTCAATGACGCGTTACTCAATGACCCTGTACACGTAACTCAACTACAAGAAACACTTAATAGATACTTTGAGGAAATCACTACACCATCAGTGTCACCCACAGTGGTTTGGGAGGCACATAAAGCTGTAGTAAAGGGACACTCACCCATCTACTATCAGACATACTACAAGAGTTCCATTCTTACTACTCAAACTTATACAACCTCAGATCCCAACCGCCAGACCCAGGGGACATCCAAAAATTCCTAACGGAGAGGCTAACCCAGACAATTCCACCAAATGCCAGACAAATCTTGGACACACCACTCACACCAGAGGAATTCTCCTTGGTCACAAAACAACTACCACTAGGGAAAAGCCCAGGGCCAGATGGCTTCACAGCCAAATACTTCAAAACATTCTCCCCAATACTAAACAAACCCTTCATAACAGCATTCAACTCTATCCTCCAAGGACACAGACTACCACATGAGACCCTAGAAGCACACATTACACTCATACCTAAACCAGGCAAAGACCCCACTGAATGCGGCAGTTACAGGACAATATCACTGATAAACGTTGATCTAAAAATCTTTACAAAAATACTGGCCAACTGACTTAGACAATACTTACAGGGGCTAGTCCACTTTGACCAAGCAGGGTTCGTGCCGGAAGAGAAGCCAAAAATAACACGACCAAACTGCTGAACCTCATCTATTATGCAAAGGGGAGCGAGGCTCAGAGCCTCATCCTCACAATCGACACCGAAAAGGCGTTTGACAGGGTGGACTGGTCCCTATTAACAGCCATAATGCAAGATATGGGCTTTGGCCCAAACTGGCTATCATGGCTCTCAGCCATATATTCCAATCCTGGAGCAAAGATAAGGGTTAATGGCCTGGTACGAGGTACACATTTCTAACAGTACAAGACAAGGGTGTCCCTTGTCCCCCCACCTTTTTATCTTAACAATAGAGCCCTTTCTACAGGGAATTAGGGACAACCCAGGTATACAAGGCATACAAATATCACTGTCACTAGTCTAATACTATCCTTACCTTTTTGTGTAATTTTACCACACTCCCTCTAGTATGTAACTCATTGAGCAGGGCCCTCAACCCCTCTGTTCCTGTGTGTCCAACTTGTCTGGTTACAACTACATGTCTGTTCGTCCACCCATTGTAAAGCGCTGTGGAATTTGATGGTGCTATATAAATATCATAATAATAATACAAATAGCAGATCACGAATTCAAAGTATCTGCCTTCGCAGATGACCTCCCCTTTACATTAAGAAACCCTGAGACCTCACTACCCCACCTAATGAAGGAGATAGACTTCTATAACCAAGTGTCCAACTACAAAATAAATAGCAGCAAAAGCGAGATCCTCCCTCTACAAATATCAGACAAGACCAAATCCGTGCTCAAGCAGGCCTATCCCTTCCACTGGCCACAAGCGTTGGTGAAATACCTGGGATTACAACTGACTGCCTCCCTTGATTAAATATATGGCCTTAATTACCCACCATTGCTGGCAAACATCGACAAGGACTTAAGAACTTGGAATAAAACACAATTTGGCTGGCTCTGCAGAGTACACATCTTAACAATGGCTATCCTGCCGACATTCCTCTACATCCTACAAACCCTACCCATAAAAATTCCCTTCAATTTCTTCACGAATGCAAAACACATTCTTTCAACCTTTTTGTGGGCAGGGAAACACCCTAGGATACAATACAAACACCTAACAAGACACAAAACACAAGGCGGTCTAAGAGCGCCAGATATAGAGGCGTATCACAGGGCCACGATCCTCTCACAAATCTATGACTGGACAAGCTCACATAACCAGAAACAATGGATACAAATAGAAGCAAATAGCTTCAAGGTACACATACGAACCATACCCTGGCATAAATCCAGTCTAGAACTAATACACCCAAACCACATGAATAACCCAACAATAATTCCTACACTAAAATACTGGAACCACCTCAACAAACACCTAGCCCCACACCCATCCCCATTATTTCCAATAACAGGGAATCCGCAATTCTCCCCAGGCCTTCAACAAAACGCCTTTCAGGATTTTGTGACCCAACATGGACAACTACACCTAAAAGATGTAATAAACGAAAAGGGAATCATCCCAATTACAGAACTTATACCTACACCCACGCACTCAGCAATGCTAATTTACAAATACACACAGCTCTCACACTATATCTGGACACAACCAGACCTCTCTCAGGGAACCAGACCCCTGACTGCATTTGAATCACTATCCACTATGAAGACCCTACAAAAGAAACACATTACCATTTTTTACAAGATCCTACAGACAGAAACGGAAGACCATATCCCTGAATTTACAAAATCCACACTAACACACGACAAATGGGGAACAATATTTAGAAACATCTTTAAGTCATCTAGCAATACAACCAAACAAGAGAGCATCTATAAGTAAATTTCCAGGTGGCACTTCACCCTGACCAGAATACACAAATTCTTCCCTAATACCTCTAACATTTGCTGTAAATGCAAAGCCAATATAGGGACCCCAGGCCACATCTGGTGGTCATGCAACATAATACAAGCATATTGGAGTAAAATATCCACCTTAGTAGCACTGATAATGAGTTACAAAATATAGCAGACCCCCTCAAGCAGTTATATTTATGCTCTACCCCACCCCCTTAGCAAGACCAACACGCATCCTGACCAACCATCTACTCACTGCTGCAAATAGCCTAATCCCAACTAAATGGAAGCAAAACAAACCCCCGACTATCAGGGAATGGATAACCAAAGTTAATTCCATCAGACAGATGGAAGAGCTCTCATATTCTTTCTCCCACACATATGAAGAGTTCATCTGGCCGTTTGACAGAAAATTCGATATACGAACGATATGGCCAAATACACGCTTAATCCTTTTGAGTGAATGCAAATAAACAAATAGTCTTTGTTCACAGTTCCATGCAGCAAATATAAAGCTTAAACAGGGGTTTTGGTGCACACAGTTGGGTTAGGGTTTCCAGGCAATAATAAGGGGTTTTGTTACAGGGCTTAACCCAAACAAGTACATAATCACTTTTAATTCCCTCTTTCCCATAGGGAGGAAGGAACTAAAAGGGACAAACTTTTAGTGAAATAAAGAAATAAATAAGGTAAAATAGAATTTGTATAAAAAAAAAAAACTTGATTTAGATAATATTATTATTATTTTTTTTTTAAATGTTTTGTGTAATTTACAAACTTCAGACTGCACATCCTATTAACTTTTAAAGATAAGTATACCACAATCCATACAATCTCAATACAGCATTATATTGACATCACTAAATGAAAGGCCCATTCCAGAGCAAGTTCACATAGGTGCTGTTATAGCAGTGCATGCCTGGGTAGATACAGTTGGCAACATACACTCAAAGTCTTATCCAATGTAGATGTTTAAATGCACCAGTGACATCTGAAATGAATCCTGCATTCTGTTGTAGACCCCAGTGAGTTACTATGTGACACTAGTGTTATCCTTAAATGTATCCATACAGTATCTTGATTAAGCAATGTAATGGGGAATAAAGACCAACTGGCTCCCTCTTCTGCAAATCTGCACCAAAAGACAACCCCACATATTCTTTGCTAGAACAAATCTCAAATTAAGAGACAGCCCCCTATGTATTTACTTTACAGTATTAGTGAGTATACATTCCAGCAGTTGAACATGTTCTATTTTATCTTATGCACAGTTTCATGAATACCCAACCCAGCTTAAATACCAAAACTCTGGAGCCACGTTTCTATAACAACTCCAATCTACGGCTAAAATGCTGATACTGGGGGGAAAACTTGCCTGCAATCATTTACATTAGGAGTTAACTAAGACCACTAGTTTATCTCAACAAACACCAGGATCTTCTATGCTGCCACAGGCGTAGTACCTATCATCCTCATAATATATATTAAAGTGCTCGTTCTGAGACAAATACACCTCCACCCACACAAAAAACCCTCATAAAAGCAAAAACCAACCAGGCACATTTCAGTATTTCAAGTACACCTCATTGGGGACCCATTAGTCAGGGACTATTCAATTGATGCCAAAATACAATGAAACAGGAACACAAACTATGGACTGTCCTGCCAAAAGCGGCACAGTTGGCAGCCCTGTATATTTTGTTCAAAATTGTTACTCACGTAAATAGTTAGCATAAACCCTGGACAACATACTTAGTATTACAATGAACTGAGTACCTGCTTCACTTTAAATAAACAGTCTGCGTGCTCGTTGGCATGAGGTTTTTTTTTCCAGAGAATCCAGTAAACCTATATATTTCAACCACATGGATACTGTTATATTGCTGTGTAAAGGTGGAGAGAAAGATTTTTTCACAGAGGACACAGCAGCCAGCCTGAAGTTGAAGTGCCTCACCAAACCAGACACTGTGAACATACACACAGGAGCCATGAGAGGTGCTGACTTAAAGATGCACTAACAGGATTTCATAGTCGGGCTGGCAATGCAGATAGGTCAGACCCGGGATTTGTCAATAGCACATTCAGTGCTCTAGCCAGGGTAAGCTCCCCATAACATCACAACTGGGATGGGACATACTTATTTACTATGGTGGAAATGAGAGAAATAAAGTGGCTGAATGCAATCATTCATGTATGGTGATTTAAAGGGCTATATATGGTCACAGCTGATAGATGGGTATTGATCCCTGGTGCAAGCAGGGATTTAACCCAGCTTACACCTAAAATACAGGACATTCAATGAGTAAAAGCCCCAAAGGACTTGAGGTTAACATTTTATTAAAACCATAACATCTTATTTTCTTTTTAAATAATGTATTAAACTAACTCCATAGATATTATGTAGGACAAACAAAAAATCACAACTAGACTAATCATACAAAATATTTTAATTATGTTTACAATAGTTAACTTCACTTAAAGCAATTCTGCATATTTTCTTCTCGAGAATGAGGATCTTAACTCTTTCCTGACATTAGGGTGTGCTGTGCCTTCTTACAAAAAGCGGGCGTTAAGGCTGTTAGGGCGGCACAATCTTGCCCTAATGATCAGGCTTTTCCTGCATCCGGATGTTAATTTTGGCCAGGGTTTGTGACTAAGTAGATACTAATATAAACTGGACATTCACACATTTTAAATACCTTTGGTTGTCTACTTTTACAAATGGTATGTTATGATGGGGGTCATTTTCATTCCTGGGCTGCCATATGGTCTCAAAGGCAACATAGGCCCAGCAAACCAATCTGGCAAATATGTGAAAACTGAAATGGGAAAACCATATATTTGGCCCTATAACTTTTCAGAACACCATGAAACCTGTACATCTGGAACATCATTGTTCTTATGCAATATCACAACATACAAATATATGTGTTTTTATTTCAGTAAAATCTAACAATATGATGACATTCACAGTTAAATGCCATGCAGAACTTAGATCATAACAACATTTCTTAATTTCTCACACAGTTTTAGATTTTATTCATTTTAAATTATGTTTCATTTATAAAGATTTGATGTGAAATTAACCCCTTAAGGACCAAACTTCTGGAATAAAAGGGAATCGTGACATGTCACGCATGTCATGTGTCCTTAAGGGGTTAAAGCTCTGTTTCTCCTTAACAAAAAAATATAAATAAGTGTGGGTTCACTTAATATGAAAGAGTTAAATTATGGTTGCATTTTGAATTGACATATAGCTAAAATTCCAGGTTTTGTTTTAGTTCAAAACTTGAACAATTGCCTCTGTCATTAAGAGGTTAAGAATGTCTGCTCTGTTTTCCATGTTGATATAGCTAAAGGGCATTTATATATAAAATGTTCCATGTTCTTTGCAAGGAGTCTGCATGTCTCTGTAGGGCAGTGTTTGTCACTTATATTAATACACTTTAGATTGGCATGCACATAAAGTTTGCTGTGAAAACCACATTGTGTCTTTCATCTTGTATGGAACCAGCTACATGTCACGATGTCAAAGGCACTTTTAATCAGAGCTGTAGGATAGTCCCTTAATGTGAGCTGCATACTGAGATATCTTTTCAGAATTACAATATAAATCTTTTTCCTGCCCAATGAAATGTGTACTTGTGAAGAAATTTTTCAATTTAAAGTAAACTTTTAACATATCAGGTTGCTATATTAAAACCCATAAAAACCTTCATAGCAAAAATAAATTTAAGGTCATAATTCTGGAATAAACTGCAATTATTTTGCATGGTTCACAGTAATATGTATCCACTTCTAGAATAAGTAATGTCTGGTAGAAATCCAGCAAACTCATACTGGACAGAGACATGACAACATAACTTGCGTGTGATTTCAAATGATTTCAAGCACCATCATTTTCTATTCAAACTAATCAAATTAAACAAATTTCTAACTAAAAATGAAAAGATCTGATAAAGGCACATTTTGTCAATTACATCTTCACTGTGCTCATAGGGCTTAGGACTGAAAAAAAATAGAGAAGTGCAGTAGTGCAGAGGAGTGCATGACATTAAATGCACACATAGTACACCTTTTCACATATAAACATTTTCAGATGTATAGAATGACTGATACACATTTTTTGTAAACACATTAAACATAGAGAAACTGAAGGCTGGGAGATGTGTGCATGGAACATGATTAAGATAGTATAAAGAACAGAAGAGGCATGGTGGCAGGAGAAGGATGAGGAGCTCTGGACACATAGACAGGAAGACAAATAGTGGGCAAATAGAAATATGGCATCAGTGCAGGGTTCACGTTCCAGAGTAGGAGAGCATGTTATAACCAGATTTCACCAAAAGCAACATCAAATGTTTCCTTAGTTATTACTGCACAACAACAGTAACTTGTTTGGGTCACTATGAAAACGGTTAAATTATGGAATGACTGCAGGGGTAAAATGAGGCTGCAAAAGAGTGAAAGCAGCAACATAAGCTTCTGGATGCAGAGTCAGCAAGAATGGCTGCAATAATATAGAACTTCAAGCCACATGATCACTCAACTGTGGTTGAACACCACTATACACCCATCAGCATACCCCACAACCTTGTCCTTGCTGGAATTTAAATAGGGATCAAGCCTTCCAAGGGGACTTTATCAATTACACAAATTGTGTCAATGGTGATACTCTTAAATGAGCAAAACCACCCAGAAAGTATGTGTCCACCCTGTGAAGTAGCATGTAGCCTGCCATCAAGCACTCGAGGCTTACTAGCAGTTTCCTGGCTTGCCCCCTGCATAGAGGACCATGCAGGGAGCACTGCTAAAAGTGCTCTCTGCATGCCTCTAGTACCGACTGCACAGAAAGAGGGTGTCGAATGATGCACTTGTAATGTCCTGTCTGGGGAGAGTTCTCTGGTGTTCCCGAATACAGGGCACCAGGGAACTTAAGAGGGGTGGTGGA